TATGACAGGATCGTCACAATAATGACTTGATTCTATATAATAATAAGTATATCCTAATTTAAGCAAATAGTACTTGATTTGCTTAGTATTCTTAATATATCTACTTTTATCGAATACTTATTTTCTTCAACAAAGATTATTATCATTGTAAAACGAAATAAACTTCAAATTGCAACTATTGAAAAAATAGAATACTTAAAATCATAATTAGATTTGGATTTATAAATAAAAGATAATTGAGAATTTGAGAATTTGAGTAAATAAAAAACAGAATTATTATTATTATTATTATTATTAGTAATTTTCAACCGGGCCGTATAGGCGAACCTCCCAGGGGGCATTACGGTTGGGCTAACTGCGGGATAATCTCTAATTTACATGATCCCCCTCTCCTAAGAGTGGGGTCTCAATACCCTCAGTAGCCTTTCAAGCGATAGTTAGCACACTTATGCTTTTGTCTCTAATCCTCTAAGCACTTTCATATACACTTTCCAATCTTTTATATAATATTTTGATTAAAAGCTGCTTTATCCTATAAGGATAGCTTTTGTATATATTTTAGTATAGTATAATATATTACATATATCGATTTTGTTTTTTATAGCCTTATTATATTAATCATTTCCTATTTTATATTTGTATTCACTCGGATTGATCGATCTATTTCTATTTTCTCTTTCTATTTTTCTGATAGTGTTTTAGGGTATATGCTTTTGTAAAAATCTATTATAATAATAAATTCAATGAACTTGGTTGATATATATATTAACTGTTTTAATAATTATTCTTGAGCCGCTCGATTGCGGGATGAGTATTTGGGCCTAATATCTGGAAATCAGATTTCATAGATTATAAGGATTTTGCAATAATATATAATATGCTCAAGGGATTTATATATACTATATAAATAATAAATCATTATTTCCTTATATTTAAATTATCAATAATAGCTTTCGAAATCACTATGTGCTAAGCGAATCGCTAATATATAATAGAGAATAGCTTGTGAGAGTTCTAATTTATTAAAGTATTTATTTATACTCCTTGAATTCCATTTCTGATATTATTTGAAGAGCATTGATTTTTATTTGATTTATTATATCTATATTACCGATTCTATAATAGTTTTTGTTATAAAACAAATATTACTTGTTATAAATCGATTTGTATACTCTGAAACTGATTTTCTTATTTCTTTATCAATAAGTATATCCATATACTCATTCTTTTCGATTTCTATATAATCTAATGACTATTTGATCTGAATTGAGTGTATTTATATTAATTTATAATATTTAAGGAAAGCCTATTGTAATATAATAAAGGCTATATCTCTTATTTCCTATATCACTGATATGCTATTAATGTATATATAGATTTCCATTTGTTTTATACTAATAATATTTCTGATTACTACTTAGAGATCTCGATATGTTCCGATTGCTTTTATATCGAATATATAAAAATTGTAATGCAATTCATTGTTTTCTTTACATACTACTATCTATTTTCTATATATAATATATCCATATCCTATTCATCTACTATCCTTATCGATTTATTCCAATCTATCAGAGAATATAGTTATCTGATTGTATATATATTTATTTCATTATTCCTGAAACTACTCTATTGCTACCTCTTTTGTAAAGCCTCTAATAGGATTTATTCGATATCCTAATATATAATGAGGCCTTGCTAAAGTTATCTCCTTGATTTGGGAAAGATACTGGTTAATCATCTGGACTTTTGTTCTAGCTGGCTGTAATTAGCTTTCCCTATTACCAAAGGAATAGGTGATTCTTATCCCTCAGTGATAAAGAGAGTGTTTTGGATTAATAGTTTGAATATGAAGAGCTGCTCTCCATTTTATTTGTTCTAATGCTATTTCTGCTAGTGGAAAAGCGCTGTCCCTTATTATCACTATATTCGGGGTTGTTCGTCAGACTGGGAGGACTCCTCTGATTGTTATTTGTAGGACTAATAAAAAACAGAACTTATTCTTTTAAATAGTATTTTTTTATTATTTAAGCTTTATTAAAATTAGTTTTGATTTTTAGTATTATCTTTTATATATTTTTAGGTTTTTATATTTCAATTTTTCTGTATATCTTTGTAGATATCAATTTTGAATGATATCTATAGTAGTGAGTTTTTAACTATCTAATACGCACTAACTACTATATTAAAAGCTTTATATGCGCTACTGTTTTACTATAGTATACTATTGCCTACACTATCCCAGGATACTTCGTAGGAAGAAAATCAGTATGATGAGAGATAAATCATATGATAATCAAAAAGGAAAACAGAAAGCCATTCCATCCAGTGATAGTGAACATGTATACACTGATTCCACTAGGTAAAACCCAATTATAGACATTCGGACTTTCGGGTAAAGTAACTTCCTAGACTTCCATGCAATGTATCTGGTAGATTTGCTCCAACTATTACAGACTCTCCAGCCACCACCACTAGGTGTATATGTTCCATTGATGCCAAACCCAACCACTCTTGATATCTTCTATCATCTATTTTTATACATCACCTACTCCCCCCTACACGCCATTGAACCCAAGCCTCTCTTTCCTGTACTCTATTAAGCATCTAAAGGCTTCTGCCCATAATGCGCATATCTGTCAGAATCAATTAGCATGACTATCCTAACATCACTTCCCACAAAGTCTCCAAGGAAGAAAGACAATAGAACACTAACATTTCCCAATAAGCATGAATTGACGTATCCTTCATTTCCCTCCTAACATCCACCAAAAATAATTCTAATTCATCTACACTCCATCCTAATAGCCTTGTAAATATGGCTACACTCAGTCCCATAAGTCCGGAGGTGAGATTTTCTTGATGCCACATTCCTGTTTCAATTCATATTAGCATATATCTCTTTACCCCTTTTATATCTCTTGGAATCATCTCCAATCTTTCCTCGGAACTCCTTTCCCTCATTTAGAAAACTTATCACTCACCCAACTCCTTAGCTTTAGCATCCTTCGGCCACTTGTTTCCTGGCCACTTATAAATTGTCTGACTAACGCCCTGAAACCCTCTCTTCTCCAATTTCTCTTTACAAGTGATTGCACTGTCCAGATCTCTGCCTGCTATAATACTCCCTTCTAACAGTAATTGTGACCATTTAAGAAGCGCTGAATCGGGCTTAAGTGTATCATCTGCGCAGGATACGGGGAGTCGAATATCTAGAAGTTCAATGTATCCACCTGGTTTCAGGTTACTGTTTCAAATAAAGTTAGAACAGTGGAAAAATCTGTGAATTTGAGGAAAAGAATAACTAGGAATACATCGACAACAGACGAAAATATGAGAGATAACTCACTTCCAAGCTTGATCAAAGAATCGATCCCAATTCCCAATACTTCCCGTCATCATTCTCGCATATATAAAATCAAACGCATCACTATCCTCAAAAGTCCATTCCTCTTCCAAATCATCCACTTGAAATATTGCATTCGGAGGTGTAAACATTGGTTGAATAGGACTTAAATCAATTCCCAAAACCGTAGCTTGAGGATACTCATCCGCAAAATCTGTTGTCCAAATTCCCGTTCCACAACCTACATCCAAAACCCTCTCAATCTTATCTGCCTCGATTGGTGCTGTGAAAAGCTTGCCATCAAGGGTGAGACTAAATATATGATGTTGTAAATCTAATCTTTCTTGTTCCATATCATCATTAGGATATGCATATTTTCCATCTTTATAAGCGTGATATGTACGTCCATTCTCTATGCGGTATCTAGTAATACTCGATGCGAGTGAGGTTGTGGAACTTCCAGGTTCGGATCCAAGGGCTGAATCGCCATCGTCGATTAAAGCTTCCGGATCGTCGGCTTCTAGCGTTACTGGTAAGGGAGCTGGTGTTGGAGCTTCTGTTGCCGGTTCAGATCCTATGGGTGGAGGCGAAGCCATTGCAGTGTAGAGGACAAATGTATCGATAGATAAATGACTATTATACGAACCAATAGTTTCAAACACAAGAAATAAATCAAATATCGTTCCAAAGTATCAATTCAATTGATCAAAACGTTGATCTCAATAAACCCTATAGGGTATCAAAAAATTAATTACTGACGTAGTTTGTACGAGGGTTGCGTAACTAAAGAACTATATAAAGAACACAAAAGGAAGAAAGAGAGCCCTCCGAAAGGAAAATGGCATACGGAACTCTTATATTAGAGTGCTACTCCAATAAAACCTCGGTGCTGATGTACAAACAATTATTAATCGATCAGACATGGTCCTAGACAATCATGATCCCGAATGACTTCAATTCGGAAATCTGACACGTACAGCAAAGAGAACAAGATAACCATTGCGGATTGCGGTCGGCAAAAAAAATTCAAAATCTGATATGTTTTCAAAAAGATCAGTCCTGACTCCTGCCTGCTTGTCCCACATCCAAAAGTCTCTTATATGAAGCAACTTACATATTCCTCTCCACATTCATGATTGGATTTTGCTCTCGGAGTTTCTTCCCATCATGATCCCCCATACAGGGCGTTTTACTTTCTACAAGGGAAATCCCTTGTTCCCTCGTGTCTATTGGTGATAACAACGGGCTTTACAAAAGCCGAAGTGGGGTGAATCTGCCAACAACTTTAAGGAAGCAATTATCCATGTGCATTTAACATGTCGATCATGAGGTTTCGAGAATTTTTTCGATGTAACGATTTGAAATGCATACAATACAGTCAAGGGATGAATCATTTGCTTCGACTAAGTAGCAAAGTGAATCAACTTCTGCAAATGGTGTTATTATCTGAACTTGAAGAACAATGTAAGAAACGAATTCTCTGTCAAAATGTCAGCAAGACCAACATTTAGAAAAAGCATATCCTTAGCATCGTCCCCATCTTATATGCACGTCGTTCATTCGACCGAATCACACCTCCGTTAAGAATGCTTCTTTTTGACTTCCTCAAACACTAGCCTTGCTCACCGCACCAGCACAGCTGTCGCCAGCCGCCTTAAAAGTCATACATATTAGGACCCCCGCAATTCTGCTTGAAATCACCCTTGCAAGTCATGGTATACGCGTGCGCTCCCGTTAGACTACTTGGTTCAGGGGTTGGCGGCACCGATCCCGCGTAACATTCCCGTCCATATTCTAGTGCAATGTATTTGTAGGTAGGTGATGGGATTTGAGCAGTGACTTGAGCTAGGGCAGAAGAAATACAAAGTTTGGGGCTCATTGAATCTTTGGAGAAGAATTTGGGGAGATTGAGTCCTTCATATGGTTTTCCTGCAGGGTCGTTGAAACAACCTATCGACGCAAATTCCAATGTTGCAGTGTTGCCTACCGAAGGAGTGGTAGATGTTCTGATTGATGGATAATCATTCGATGGGAAAGGAGCCACTGAAGAAATCGCTGAGGGGGTACTGGATCGTGTATCTATCGTAGATGAGTTGCTGGTTGAGGAGGTAAGTGAAACTAGTGCACTGGAGGACCACGATGAAGATATTGAAGAGGCAATCACACCACTTTGAACGGAGGAAGAGACCGAATTGGTTGAGGGAATGGAGCTCAAGCTTGAATTAGCGCCTGTGCCGTTGTGATACATCTGTAAACGAGGTGACCCACCGCACTGAGTCATGCTATTGAGTAAACTCCAACGGTTGTACACATAAAAACTAGACTTGCCTGTTCCGAGGAATTCCCCATTCAAGTCAAGGACCAAGTACTCCCTGATGTAGACACAAAACTGCTTGCGTTGATGACATTTCCCCTATAGCCTATGGAAAATTCAGCTTGAAAGCAAAGATATGGTGGTGCTTGATAATTTCATACACTCCCTCCAATATCCAATGCCATATCAGATAAATGCGGAACAAAAAGCATAACAGCTTTCAATAATCATCCTATTATTTGCATCAGTATTGCCAGTTAGAGCTCTTCCGATGGTACCCTCGGTATAGCACCCTACGAAGGTGTTTGAGCCGATAGAGATTGAATGATCACAGGTCAAGTCGAGGCTGGTACGACCGAGGTAGTCGGTAGAAGTAGAATTTGTAGTGGAGGACGCAGTGGTAGAAGAGGTGGCTGTGGAATATTGGGACGAAGTAATCGCTGGTAGAAAAGATGAAGAGGACTATGTGGTAGAAGTTGAGATTAAACTACTACTGCTGTTTGAAGAATCGAGAGATCAGGAATTCAATCCGGGTCAGGCACATACTTGGTCCTGTGATAGTAAACTGATACAAATGTACCATCTCCCCCGCATGCCTGTGTTATATCTCCAAGACAACTCAATGAAAATTTGTTCAAGGACAGGTCACTACTTTGAAAGAATTAGATCTCCAACTTGTAAAATCAAACACGAAAATTCTATTTCGCTACTTTTGGAGCAATATTTTCACACCAACTTTCCGTGTCTGTCAAAATCGGCTGTGATCAAGAGGTGCTCCTCGTCCGAGATACAGACAATACTCCACACCGGCGAATTTTGATGCAACCGTTTACTGAAGTGATGGCAATTTTGGCGGTACAATCAATAGTTCGAGTCCCGGTGGAACCAATAGCAACTTAATCAAAGTCGACTGGCTGAGTATACTAAAGAGGTAAAGCAACCGGAGATTCTGAACACATGACACTGCCATTAATATCCAATACATACAAGCGTACATCTCCAAAATTTGGACATTGAAACTTATTGAGACCTCCAGTTGGTGGAATTGGAATTGGAGTCAAGATTCCATTTACAGGTACAACATTGTAGGCTTTTAGTCCAGCGTTTGGGTCGGAAATCCAAAAAAGAAAACATGTACCAGCTTGGCTTTTATATGTAGTAGTAGTCGGTATCCCTAGAGAAGCCTTAGCAATACAATACGAAAGTGAACTAAGGTCCCGTTTTTTTGCCCATTTCCACAGCTCCTGTGAAATTTGATGGGCTTCGTCCGAACAAAACAAAAAGCAGCGCGTTTTGATCGTCATATCCCGGCTTGTAACAGACTGTTGAAAAGCCTAGATAGTGTAAGCCATGAATATATATTATTTGAACCTAAATTCAATCAATCACGTATCAACAAGAGTAGAACTTGGTTTATTTTCCGTGAAATATATATCGTATGCGTACTCACTAGATACAACCTCCTTCGAGAGGACATGGACCTGGGCCGGCAAATATCGAACGCTGAGCAATGATTGGTTGGAGTATATTGTCAGATCCTGTAAGACTGTTAACCGCTACATCCATGAGGATGACTACAGAAATACCTCCAGGCCCCTGGTTGAACCCATCAAGATTGTTCACATTCAAAACAATAATTTAATGTCAGCTATTGCATGTCACTGGAAGGCTTCCCGAACTTTTTGTACTATGCTTTCCCAATTTTCCAATGACAACTACGATGCATGAAAACCAGTACCGATAAACACTGTATGGACCAATAGAGCAACACCACCGGATCCTAGATCTCGACCACCAGCACCCATAGGGACGTATTCGTACGGGTCGAAATAATCTGACAAAATGATTTTACCAGCGGGTGAAATGGCGATATTCAACACAACTTCGTCCAATGAAAGTGGAGATCTTCCCGATGTCGTTATATCCTCATTTGCATGCTCCTCCCTATTCCTTCAAAGTTTAGCATATACAATTGCATATACCACAGAATACTCAAAGTGTCCAGAAGCAAGAAACAGTCGATTTCCACCTGTCGCCACGACCATACCCCCTTACCATGTTCCAGCTTTCTCACCTTCTTGAGTATTAAAATCTGCAACGACCAACAGATCACCTGGACTTGACTCCATGGTGAAGATGGATGTAACGTCAATTCCGGAAGTTGCGCTAACTTCAACTGATATCCTAGTATAATGAAAAGCTCACAATGCCGTCCAAATGCGCCAATCACCACGCCGTTGATTAAGGTGACAGATGGTCGTTGAAGAATAGTACCGCCGGGAAAGTACCTAACAATATGAGCATAATTAGCTTGGAGATAAAAGACCCTATTCACCTGGTAAGGCTAGTGATATCCTGAAGAGGAATGATTTCAACAGCATATAATTTGTAAAGCCCGATCTACCTGTCAGCGCCAAATTCTCCATACCATAGAATTTCTTGTGATTAGCGACGCCCCCAGTCACAGCTTCATTTTTGTATGTCTTGGAGAAATATTATAGAAGATCTTTTGCTGGATCTATAGTAGGAGTTCCAACAATGTCAATGAAATCTGGGACATCAGCACATCCGTCTATTTGTATTGACTGTGGTCCAATCCATCTCTAGTTAAAGTTACCAAAGATCAATTTTTAGAAAAGGTGGCTGTATAACTCGTAAGTTCAACATAGTCCCATTAACAGCATCCAAAGTACGTATGATACTCATCTCTAATGCAATGAAGACTAACTGTGACCCGCCTGGCGGAGTATATACTAACGGTTTTGCATGCTATTCCTCCTTATTGTTCCCGTATTAGTTTTTCCATAATATTCCAAATAGCAGGACCCAATGTCGAAGGCTGCCTTTTATTATTATCCAATTATCCCGATTGCAGCATATCTGCACCTGGAATTGTGTCTGTAGATGCCACAGAGTTCCCCAATGATGGCACCAAGGCCAACAAAATACGAATTTTTAACCACATTTAATCGAGAATTTTTGATGCTTGAAGATCAAGATTGCAAAATCGAGACAAGGCAGAAAGTTTGACATAAAACCATTTCCCTATTTTTGCAATTGGTAAGAGCGCAGGAAGGGATCGAAGTGATAACGTGATGACACTTACCATCTGTGACATGAATCAGAAATTCGACGGAAAGCTGCATTATTTCCCAAGGGAAACGTTTGGAGGAAACAAAAAATTCCATACCTCAAATGATCACGGCAGATCCATACGACCATAATTTGATACCCTGATATATCGCAAAACCAATTGACATGCAAATATATACTAAACTCCCACAACATATATACCGGATTTATACTTCCTGGTATGATATTTTCCATACGATGGTTTCACTTGAACACAGCTACCCGGTCAAAAGAACAGTCCGGATTGACGGTGGAAGTCTCTTAAACAAAGCCTGAAAACTTTGATATGCAGATTATTCTGAGAGCATGCCGAAAAGGAAAATGATAGCATAAGTAAATAGAGAACCATGCGACTTAGCAATTTCGCGACGTTACCATTAATTGATTGATTGATTGATTGATTGATTTTATTAACATCCTTTTTCAGTCCATAACTATTTAGAACGGCTAGGCTATAGGGGCCTAGCAAATACTATTGGATATTTATAGTAGATATATTCAATTTAGAGAAATAAAAACGAATACTAAAAAACTAAGCCCAATCTCTATTCGGAGTGCAAATAAAGATAATTATCTTTATCCTTTAAAACACTTCCTTCCTGACTTTTCCCCTTCCCTAATCCAATTAAAGTATTCTAATATCCAATTTCTCTTTTTTTAAAATCCTAAATCCAATTTGCTATTCCTCTCTTTCTATAAAAGGCAAGAGTTATTCCCTTTCAAGTTATCTTTAATATAATAAAGGGTTCTCTTATTAATAAAATAGCAATAAAAGGTATTACTCTTCTTTGTTTTTATCTCTTTTAAATTAATCCCTTGTATATTTTCATAAGCTTAATATCCTTTAGCTTTTATTAAATATATATAATCGAAACTATTAACAATAATGGGGCAGAGCCAAGCCCTAAGTCTATATACAAATCAATTCGGAAAATTCGAAAATTCGAAAATTAAAAGGAAAAACGTTGTATTATATTAATACCCAAAGTATAGTATTAATTTGAAGACGATAGTATTTTTTGTATTATATCATTATAATATTTAAATAACTGAAAGCTAAAGAATATAAAAAAAGGGATTATAGTATGAGTAAAGCGGCAGCAAGTTTTATATCGAAAAGACTCTTTTAAAAAAAAGAAATCTATTACATATCTTACTTCTATAAAGTAATAATCGATAGTAGATATTGAATCTGATTGAGGTTTCTATAATCTTTGTATTTATATTTAAAGCTAATATTTAATTCTTTATAAATATTATTATTATAAAATCGCAATATAATCCTTCGCTATATTTCTGATATCTTTTTTTTTCCAATTCTTTCAATTCCATTTGCAACTCAATCTTAGCTCTATAGACTCTTAAGAGAGAGCTAGAGGTTTATAGAATGCACTGTGTACAGGTGTTGAGTCTTCGCATTCCACGTTACCATTGAACATTATAAGATGATATACGATATGCGATATAAAGAGAAAAATGAGGTCTTGAGAAGAGAGAAAGAGAAGCAATAACGACACCTCTGCCCGATTTTCAGGCTTGTGGAATTCGAACATTCACAATTCAATTTGTTTGTGCATTCATAGGCACTTCGCCTCACTCACATGACCAAACCAGCCTGTAACGAATTGAAATTATTAAAACCACCCAGAAAAATTCTAGCCCCAAATGCTGACCAAGTTACCAACTTCATCATGGAAATTGTATCAAAAAGCCTAGATAACAAATTAGGGTCCTACTTAGAGCGCGGTCAAAAGATTCATTGCATTGGGACAAAGCATTGAAGTGATATAATGGCGCAAACGAATCTCGTGGACTCGTCGCGGGAAACGAGAATATTCGATAGACAAGCCAAATTCGTCAAAACATTCTTCAAGAAGAATGATCTGGAGAATATAGTGCGACGAGCTGGATATACTGATCTCTAACCCCGTCTCATTAGTTTCCAGACTACTGCTACAAGCATAAAGATCGTGCTTCTGGGTCAAGAAAGCATAGATCTGAATTTCTACATCTATTCCTTGTCCCATGTTCACTTGGTTCATTTTTAGCATGAGATGTTTGATCTATGTCAGGAATTGACCAAATCAAGAGCAATAATTTGTGATTAGAATTTGGATTCCGTTTATAGTTGACACGAAACACATGTGTGAAGGATATCCATGTGTATTAATCACTTGGTGTGATATATCTGATATATACACAATAAATACAGTGATATATTACAACATTCCAAAACTATCCACCATTTTTCATTTCTCAATCATAACCATCAATAACAATCAATTAATGCCCCAAACTTTTTCACCAAGCGTTTCAACTAACTTTAATAAACTGGCATGTCAAAAGCATCCAAATCATAAATCCATGAATCAATACTCTCCTGATCATACTGACACTCCATCGTAGTTCCATTGTTTGTCCAGAACGGTCTCAGAGGCCATCCGCAGATCTGTTGATTCGTACCCTTATTCGCCCCCTGCAAAACTGTCGCATTCAAAGTGACAGGTGCCACTCCATTCTCTACCCAATCAATGAGTACCTGCAAGTTCGTTTGTGGCCATGGTCCATTAGGTTCCGCTGTATTAACTGCACAATGTGAACCGCCTGGTACAAGGAATAATCGATAGAATTCATTAGTTGCAGCGACAGAATCATTATACGAAAGACCTGGGTTCATGATTTCTCGCACGGATTCGAAGTAGCGAACGGATGAGGCGGTCGGAATACTGTAATCAGATTCACCATGGAAATGGATAATTTTTCCGCCGGCATTTTTGTAAGGGGTGAGGTCTGGCCAGTTTGTCATGAGAACATCATTGTATCGGTTCCAACCATCTTGAATCCAGTCGCGGAGAGTATCGTATGTTACTCCCTCGAGAGATTGGAGGTTTGAACCATTTTTGAGATCCAGAAGGACTTCAACGAATGAACCACCAAGAGAGGTAATACTAAGTCCATATTCACCCGTGGTGGCGTTATATGCTGTGGCCGCATCTGTAAAAGTAGAGGATGGAGTGTATGAGAAATAAGCGCGTTTACCGTCAGTGGTGTGGAGACCGTCGAGGATTTTCTGGGCAACGGCCAAACCCTTAGCCGAGATTGAACCATTTTGTGCGGGTGTAGGAGAGGAAAATAGACTTCCTGTTGACGCTGGACAAGAGTATGGTGTACCCAAAAGTGTTGAAATATTGAAGTTCATTGTGCAAAGATCTGTTCGTGAGACGACTCCGTCTATTTTGCCATCATATGGATCGCAAGCAATAATTGTCTCGTTCACAATCTTTTGCAATTCACAAGGCGGTGGATAATAGTCCAGAGTCTTCTCCACAATATTGGAATAAAGATGTTGAACCTGCTGGAATGCAAATCTGAAAGCCGGTGCACCAATTGTTGCTCCATCAAATTGATCCGCAAATCTTTGAACTTGACTCCACACTTCTCTACCACCTTCCGAACAGCCCTGATAGTAAGAATATAACGTAGCATTATTAGCTGTCATATTAAAAATCGATGTAGTAAATTCCTTTCCAATGACACTCATTTCATGGATAGCATTATATCCAAACATATAGACATTTTGCCAATTAAGTGTTCCGTTCGCAAGGAGGAAATCTGAAATGACGTTGTTCTGGAAGATTCCAAAACCACCATCAGTGTCACCAGCAACTGCGCCATATGCAACTCCTCCAGGTAATGACATAGCTCCTGAGTTGATGGCATATCCACCACCACCTGTAGAAAGGTAGCGATTTTGGAAATTTGCCGGTGCAGGAACCCAGTATGTTAAGAGCACACTGTCATCTAGACCGTTGTGTGAGTACTTGAAAGTAACAGCACAGTAATCGATCACAGCATTTGGATAAAACACACTCGATGCTGTGGCATTTGTCACCGTTTTGGCTGTGATGGATGTTGGATCAAGAGTTATCCCATCATAGAAATCGACAGCTGGAAAGTTGGCTGCGAGATAAGTTGATGTACAGATATCGGTCAGCGT